AAAAAAAAAAAAAAAAAAAAAAAAAAAAAAAAAAAAAAAAAAAAAAAAAAAAAAAAAAAAAAAAAAAAAAAAATAATAATAATAATAATAATAATAATAATAATAATAATAATTTTTTTTTTTTTGAAGTTTAAATAAAAATAATAAGAATATTTTAATTAAACAAAAATTTTTTAAGAAAAGATTGTTTAATTGATAGACTTTTTTAAAAAAACTTGAATTATATTTTTTTTCCTTTCTTTTTTATCTTTCTCTTTATTAACTTAGCAATTTATGGTTTTAAATAATATACAATAACAGATTATTAGAAATAAACTTAATAAATAAAGATTTATATCAATCTTTTAAAAAAGTAAAATATTATTAAATATAAAAATGGAATATGAAATTATTAAAAAGATAAAAAGAAATTGAAGGTTATAAATAATAATAATATATATATATATATTAAAAAGAAATAGAAGTAAAACAGAGCTTAAGATAAACCAAAATTAAAAAAAATATTATAAAAATTATAAGTAATTAAAGTTTAAAAGATTTAATTTTTAATTTATTAATAAATTTCAAGAAATCTATAGTAATAAACTATATTTGTTTAACTATAGATTAAATATACTGTATATACAGTTTTTATATTTGTATATTTCTTTCTCATCGTTAAGTATTCATAATATAATTTGTCCATCGATAAATTCCTATCTACTGTCTACTGTATACAGCAATGAAAAATACATTGGTTCACTTACACTTTATTTCGACGAGTGGCCAATTCGTGAATTTCTTTCTATTCCAACTGCATTTCGGCAAAGGACGCAAGCATGGCATGCTCCTTCTGCATAACCATCTCAACCAAATCTCTTATTAACAGTCGAAGGCCTTGTGTTTATGGTTTTAAACTTCAATTCCGTTAAGATAGTACCACCAACATCAAAACGTCCCAATTACTATACTATCCGTCTCAGTTGATATTCCCTGTTTGAATTTTTTACAATTCCGATTCCATGGCGATAGAAATATAGTAGTCAATTAGAAACACTCACCATCTCGGACATATTTGTCTTTTTTCAACACGGCTTGCGAGAATTATTCGTGTTATTGAACTTGTTTTTGAATCACTAATTAATGACGACCTCTAGTTTTTGTTGTTAAATATTGAAAATTGGGCAAGAATCGACTCGGTTCATTCATTCCTTGAAATTGATAATTACAATTTTATCGAAAAAAAATCGGAGGCCTATCGCCATTGTCTAAAGGCAATCATCGCATATCCTGGGTAAAAAAAAAAAAAAAAAAAATCGCGCCAAGCTATTTTGTATTTTCAAATTGTTATAATCATTATTGTCGTGCATGCATACGCACGAGAAAACTGCACATGTGACGATTCAAAAAAATTTTAATTTTCACGTTCATCTACTTTTCTTAACCATTATGCTTCCCACAATGAAAAGTGACACAGTAACCGATTCAATAAGCAGAGAGATTTGACACGCACCAAAATTTCAATTGCAAAAGGAGCCAAGGGAACTTTCCACGCCCAGAAGACCGTCGATTTCTATAAAATTTGCTCGTACCAAGTCATTTTTACACATAATAATTTAGGTTTCGCGTGATTAATTTATTTTCGTTTCAAGGAAAAAATGAAATAAAAAAAAAATGGATTTTTGTATATTAATTAATAATTCAAAAATTCTTTATATGACAAAATATCATAGCATTGATGAATTAAAACTTCACAGTTTCAAAGTGTCCCTTTGTCATAAGGTTTCAGTTTAGCCTTTTTCCTGTAGCATATTGTTTAAAGTTTCATCCTTCCCATTGAATTGACTTTCCAAATTTGTTTTCCATTCACAGCATTTCCAAAGATCCCAGGATTTGGGGGATATGATTGGTTCAAAAAAGTTGAATTTGGTCGATACCGAATTACACAGTACACAGTGCGCATACGGTAACACGTAAGTTTCTGATAAAAATAGTTTTTTGAGAATTTAATTTGTCAAAATATACCGCAAGTATTTGCCTTAAAATTAACTCATTTTTTCTTGTTTGAAGAATTTTCAGGATGGGATGCATTACACTGATGGCGTGGCCACGAGATAAACTATCGTTAATTTCCGAGTGCATTGAAATTAATATTACGTACGCACGCAATTGATAATACATGTGAAGCGCATACGGTGTAAACAAGAAAAACATCTCGACACAAAAAGAACTCACGCGCTGATTTAGACATTTCTTTGTTCCAAATGTAAGAGGTGCACAGATTGACACTTGGGCATGCATCATTCTTCCGCTTTTTTTCACACATGTAGTGGTACACGGGAGGTCTCTTGACGACATTTGTACTTTCCGGCAATAGCGAGGAGTTGATGGGGCGAACCGACAAAGGTCTGATCCTTTGTTCACCTCTGCCGCCGTTCCGACCAAGGGTGATGCTCTTAAAACCGTTCAAACTCCTAATTCCATATGACAGGCGTTACGTTATTCTTCGTCGTTGATGCACATGACACGGGAGGCGGATTTCCGGATGTCCAAGAAATTCCGGGGTCACAATTTCTGCGCACTTCACAGATTATCGATGATGAATTCTTTTTCGTGGTTCCACCGCATGATCAATTGATGTACGCACGTATATGACCGGCATGCTATGATTACATATCTGTCATCCGAAAGAAGTGATGTCACAGAATTTGTTCTTGGTATCAAACAGTTGGTGCTTTTTTTAATCTTCGAAAAACAAACCATTATGGGAATGTAGTTTGTCACAATGCATCGAGATACCGAATGACAAAACTCTTATGGAAGAAACAATTGATGAGGAGGTGTCGAACAAAAGAGGATTCTTATTGCACCCAAATCTTAAATTTAACAACAAATGATGTCCTCACAATACGTCAGGAATTCACTAAAAAAGAACAATGTTTGAGGTTGCCACAATGGACCTCCATTATTCGCGAAAGCTAAAGGGAAGAATAATAATACTCTCATCATTTCTTATTATACTTTTTTTATTTACCCCAACAATTGAACCGTGGATCAGATTGTTTTATTCAGAATGACTTTGATAGTTGTAGCCCATTCACGACACAAAATCATAAATCAACAAATCAAAAATCACAAATCGACTCCCGCCCCCAACCATTACCATACGTGGCATAGTCGATACACGTGACATGGCTCTTGACAGTTGCCGTGTTTGTGCCACAAATCATTGTTTATGACAAATAGTTCCACTGGCCACATCGCTGAGTTTGGTTAAGCTTTGATTATGGTGTCAACAAATAGCCAGTTCGTCCGAAATCATTTTTTCAACTCTTTTTTTGCAATTGTCAGGGTGAACCTTAAATTTTTTTTATAAATAAAGGCAAAATTCCATTCGAACACTGAAATTCCAAGATATAATCATCATTTTCTTCTTCCTGCCAATCGCAAACGCTTTGTCTCTTGTTCCATTATTTCTTGACGACCGGAGGATATAGGGAAATCTTTCTTTATCCATTCAGGCTTACTACACCCTGTTGACGATCACCTCTTGAGACCTTTCTCTTATTTTCTCCTACATCACCTTTTGTTTGTTCTCAATATCTGATATCTCCCTGTGGGTACACACACACACACACACACACAATCATCACAATAGTCGATAACCCGACATTTGTTTACCATTACCTTCAAACATTCTGTTAACATCATCTTCCAACCCAAATTTTCTCGCGATGGCTCACGATGAGGACTTCCTTGCGCAAAGAACTCAATCATTGTTATTGTTGGATTCCACCGACGATGACCTCAGCACCCTTGACGCTGAGCTTTCAAATGATAACGATGATTGGCAGTGGGAAGAGAGGCTTCGTTTGATCAACGACTTTTCAAATTGGACAAGTGGAAACAGCGGCCTGGATCAATTTATTCAACAGACTCAGTTGGAAAATCCGTGAGTACCATAATCTCTCGTTTGCACGGCTAACCCGTCTCTCACCTATTCACGCACGCGCGATTCATTTTTTTCAACAGGGATCAAAAGTTTCACATGCGATGGATAGATTACAAGGATAACTTTTCGAACGTGAAACTCGTGGCCGAAGGTGGTCACAGTTCGGTATTCTCGGCCACCTGGTTGAATAAGACTGATCAAGTGTGGGATGGTGCCAAGCAGGCATTCGTGGAGAAACCGTTGGTGGTTGCTCTCAAGGTTCTCAAGGATTCACAGAATCTCAGCTATGAATTTTTAGACGAGGTTAGCTTTTCCTCCCTCTTCCTCCCTCTTCCTCCCTTTGCCATTTCACCATTTTAACCACTCAATCTATTCCCAAAATAACTTGGTGCAGTTTAAGCGGCACGCCAGTCTCAAGTTGGATGGATGCGGATACATGGTTCATTGTCACGGTGTTTCCCGCCACCCGGAGACTAACGAGTACATCGTGGTGATGAATTTTGCGGAGGAGGGTGACCTTCGTCGATATTTGCAACGAAACGTTAGAACTCTGCGATGGAAGGACACTGTGGACATCCTATGCAATATCGCCATGGGCCTCCATGATATCCACAAGAACGGCACGTTTCACAAGAATCTTCATTGCGGCAACGTTATGAAATTCTATAATTGCTATATAGCCGATTTTGGCCTTTGTGGTCCAAGCAATTCGTCTGCACCGCGAGGCGTTTACGGCTCATTGCCATTCGTGGCGCCTGAAGTGTTGGCCGGCGGTACATTCAGCGCGAAAGCCGACATCTACAGTTTCGCGTTCATAATGTGGGAACTATCCTCGGGACGAGAGCCATTCTCGGATCGACCGCACGATCATTCGCTGGCACTGGAAATTTGCCATGGATTCAGAGAGAGCGTCATGCCGGGAACACCTTTGTTCTATGAGAAACTGATGAGGCGATGTTGGGATGCCGATCCGTCGAAACGACCTGACGCGGAAGAGATAGTGGACATATTGTCATCACCGTATGAATACCAGTGTCAACTCCTCGGCATTGATGAACTCGGCAGTGACGGCATAAATGAGCTGGAATCCTTTGATCAGACGTTAGCGAGTAAAATGGTTGACCAAAAAGATGTGGTCAAACCAAAGAAACACCCCTTTGCCTTCTACACCAGCAAATTCTTATTGTTCCCAAATTTACCCGAACCAAGAAATCAGGACAAAGTTGAGCCGGTTGTGATTGTTCCTTATTCCAATGGTAAGTGGAGTGATTGGTTAATCGCATTCGCGATCACCGGTACTTTGTGTGACAAATTACTGAAGCTTGTTAATTGTCATTCGTCAACAGCACATCAAACCTCGCAGGACGAAGACGAAGTCACTTATGAAGGTAAATAAGAATAAAGAGCATCATCATCGTTTATCGCGAGAGGTTCCTTTTTTCGACGCTAAACTTACACTCCATCCTTCTTCCTCATTTCCCATCAGAATATGACACGAATTGTCCTCTTCCTCCCGAATCTTACGGTGAGCGCAGGTTTCCATGTGTAGAGAATGTTTGTTTATTCACGTCTTACAATCTTATTCATTCTCGTTCTCGTAATTTTCCGTTCAATCAGATTCCGATGGCGGCGCGTATGCTGACGATGACACCGATGATGACGACGACGACGACGATAAAAAAGATGAGGAGCCGTACGTTCCACCACCGCCACGACCCATGCAACGTCGAATGTCGATGGCGCCCATGTCATTTAATTGCACCGGATTGGTGTTAGCAATGAACTAATTTGTACATTTTTTTCCCGAGAACTATTGCATTTCTTCTGAGAACCATTACATTTCCACTTCCATTGGGATAGATTTTGTTTCACGAAAAAAAACATATACGCATTGTTCCAATCACGTGCATATTATTGCATCAATTTGTGCACATAGACGCATTTCTTTAAAAAAAAAACACAATTTAGAACAATAGAATCAAACAAAAAAAAAAAAAAAAAAAAAAAAAAATTACATATACACCACCAAACAAGAATCTTACGAATCTCTTTTTATCCAAGACAATTAAAAAAGAACCAAAAAAACCTACGCGCTTCCTAAAAAAAAAAAGACACGAAAAAAAAAAACGCAAATACAGACATTCTGTTTCATCTTATCATCATCATCACCACCACCACCAACACAGACATTTTAAGAACACCGAATTTTGAACGCGACCATTACGTTTTATTTATATACCTTCTAAAAAAAAAAAAAAAAAAAAAAAAACCATCATCACACTTTATCTTTTTAATAATTATTTATTGCCGCCAAATTCATATGCATTATCTTTATCTCGTTATTTCCAATATTTAAAAAAAAAAAAAAAATTTTTTTTTTTTGTTTGCTATTTGTTCTATTTAGGCTTTCTCCTTCAAAAGACGATCCGTTTACACCACACCCTTTTTACATCGAACTTTTCATTTATTTATGATTTCCTCTTTTCTTTTTTATCGCTCCGATATTTATTTTCTCTGAATCTATGCCATCCTTTTTTTTATTTTAGTTGAAGGGGAGCTGGAATGTTTTTGTTTCAAAAATTTTTATATTTTCTTTTTTTACTCTTCTACCTTTTACTCCGTGTTTTTATCACATCCGTTCTCCGCCCCCTCTTTGTACATAATTCGACGGAGGACGGCTGGCCTTGAATTTTTTTTTATTTTCATTTGTTCTTAGTGTTGGTTATTAATGAAAAAAAAAAAAAAAAAAAAAAAAAAAAAAAAAATTTTTTTTTTTTTAATTTTTTTTTTTTTTGAAAGACCCCTTAAAATCAAAGCGTGCTTTTAAAGGGAAAAACATTTTTGAATTCTTTTTTTTTGCATGTGGGGGGGGGTTCTTGGTTT